TTCTCCCCCAGAGACCCACAACTCACTGCCAGGGCATATGCAAGCAACTGCGACGCCGCCTTAGATTTAGCTTCGCCTCTGCTCACCATCAGGGGTTTGTTTGTTTGTTTGTCTCTTCTTTCTCTTCTCTCTTCTCGTTGTTTCTTTCTTTTCTTTGTTTTTATTTATTCTCTTTCTCCTTGTTGTCTCCGCTTTTGTTGTTTGTCTCCTTCTTGCTGTCTCTCTTTTTTTTTGTTTTTTTTCTTCGTTCGTCTCCTTCACATCTCTTTTCTCTTTTTCTTTGTTTGTTGTCTCCCTGTGGTCTCTGCGTCGTTTGTCTCCTTCTCCTGTCTCTTCGTGTTTTCTCTATTTGTTATATGTCTCCCTCTCTTCTCCTTTTGTTTATATTTCTCCTTATTCTCTCTCTGCTTTTTTTCTGTCTCCTTCGCTGTTGTGTTTTTCTTTTTTTTTCTGTTTTCTCGGTCTCGTTTGTTTGTCTCTGTTCTATCTATCTTTCTTGTTTCCGTCTTTTCTTTGTCTCCCTCTCCTTTATATATCTCTTTGTTTTGTTTTTCTTTGTTGTTTGTCTCTCAATTATATCTCTCCCCCTCCCTTTTGTCTCTTCTTCCTTTTGGTGTCTTTCTTCTTTTTGGCCCTCTCCCCACTGTCTCTGCAGTGACAGCCGCAGCAGCAGCAGCAGCAGTAGCAGCAGCAGCAGCAGCAGCAAGAGTGCTGCAGCAGCTTGTTTGTTTTTTTTATGTGTGTCTGTACGCAGCGTCTCCTCGCCGGGTTTTACGTTTTACTTATTTTCGCACCAAGGCAATTTCTTCTCTCTTGGAGTGTCTGCGATGTGGGTCCCCTCATTGTCTGTTATATATATATATATATATATATTTAGCCATTATATCTTGTATCGTGCAGCTACAGACAAAACATAGACAGTATGTTTTATATGCGCCTATATATAATTATACAAATATCTATAAATACATAGAAACTTACGCAACACTTTATATATAATATAGTTATATATAACTAAACATATATATATATATATATATATATATATATATATATATATATATATATATATATATATATATAT